GCTCAGGGGGGGTTGGCCAGCTCAGGGAGTGGGATGTTAGCTGGTCTGTGGGATGAGGGTTGTCCATCTGGGAGTGGGAGAGGGGCTAGAGGGTTAAAAATAGCCTGGTGCTGGGGGAGGCAGGTAGGAAAAACATAGACAGAAGGCTGCACTGGGAACATGTAAAGAGGGTCGGAAGATTGGTCTAAGCTAGCCATACCTTTTCTAATTTAGTGCACCTCCAGGTACAGTTAAATTAGATTGGGTCAGCCATTTTTTGACTGATTTAACCTTCCTGGAGCTTCTGTACAGTTCATAGTTAGATCAACCTAACTAGGGATCTAAGTGCAAGGTCCACAAGTGGGCAAACTAAGTTAGATTGGTTGGCCATTTTTAATATGGTCTAACTTCCCCTAACCTCCCTGAATATCTTTACACAATTACAATCTAAGCAGATTTCATCTGGAACTCATAAGAGTAAACATTTACTCAGTTTAAGAAACCTGTGAACAGAACAAGTCCTGCAGTTGTGAAATCCTTGACCTTTTTCATAGTAATTTCCATGTTGAAGCTTTTTCTCAAGACTGAAAACAAATATATTTTGCCAATGTAATATACAGGGGGTAAGCCCAATCATTTATTACCATAGTTACTTAAAAGTAATCTCCAGTGACTGCATCTACACAAGATATGTACTAAATGACTGCACAGTAACCTGAGTTACTGCACAGTAGCTGCGCTGAACAGCTTTTTTGTGATGCTGACTGCTCAGTTGCCAGGGACTACTGCGCAGTAGCATTTGCATGCTTTCTGCCATGTGACACTACTGCACAGTACTGTAGACATGGCCAGTATTCTATTGAAGGATTGCAAAATGGCCCAAGCATAATTTCTTTCTGTGAGAGTTGGGAATTGAAGGGAGAATTATTTCCGAATGTTTTCAGCTTGGTGCCTGGAAAATCTGGTCATCCTTTTCAGTTCTAACTGGACCTAAGCAACTTATCTAAGTATTTCCAAAATTCATAATAAATCTTTATTAAAACCTTTCCTAGCCTGTCACACTTCCAGCCATTCAATTTTAACTTGCAGTACTAAACTATACTTAAAAGATTGCTCATGGAATGTGCTCTTCCTACATTATTTAGTAGATCTCATTTACACTGCCTCCAAATTAGCTAATTGATATGTCTTTACATAAATCAAGTGCAGCAGTACTTATTACTGAAGACATAATATTCTTCTGATAGAAATATAGTACACTGGAAGAAAAGTCTTTGTCTGCTGCACAACAACCCAGAGTGCTGCAGATGCTTAATACTAAATAAAATAGCCAATGTATCTAATATCTTCTATAAGCAGATCCACCTCTGAGCAGAGGTCATCACAGGCATACAGGCATTGAAGTTACTTGAACAGGAATGAACACGCGTATCCTTCCATTGCTCCACTCCTTCCGGGATCTGGGAGAAATGAAGCAGGGAGAAATGTTCCCCCACTTTATCCAGGTTGACCCCTGTCTGGGGAACACCGGGGAAGCAGAGGCTGCTTGACAACTCCTGAGGACCAGGAGGAGTGGAGAAGCAGGGAAAGGCTCCCCATGCCTTCGTCAGACCACGGTCAGCATTGTGTGGGTAGGTGAGAGGAGCAAATCCAGACTTCAGCAGCTTCAATTCGTTTCACTTCTTTTCCCAGGTCTGTTGTGGCTCACCCTCTTTAAGGTCTTCAGCCTTCCCTGGCAGTATAGATTAAATAAACTAGTAAGCTAAGCACATTCCACAACCAACTACTCAATTTATAGTTCAAATTCATTCTCATGAGCTCCAATAAATACATAAATTTCAATTAAGTGCTTCTGAAAAGTTTTCTTTAAAAAAAATTGAAGGGATTACCATGCTTTCCCAGGTTTTAATCTAACCATAAACAGGAATACATAGATTTTAAGAATTGCCCTGAAAAAAAATACCTTCCTTCTACAATTTGATTTAAGTACACTGCATGCACACACTGACCAACAGAGAGTAGAGGAAGAGGAACAGGAAAATAAGGGAAATTTCTTTTGTTAAATACGTACCACTTGAGCCTTGCTCCAAGTGTTTGAGCCAAAGTATTTTGGCACAGCAGAATAAAACAGTGATCCATGTTATATTTAGTTACTACTGTAGTTTGGACAAAAATCTCTCAAAGCTCGTAAAAGAAATCATGTGACTTCCCTTGCTAAAATGGATATTTATAGGGAAGTATGTTTTTCCAGTATGTCAAGATGCTCAGGATTGTTTGGTGGTTCTCCACATGATGTCCAAAGTTTTCCTGGATTTCTCTGACACCAGATAATTATAGTTATGAATGCGGGGTGATTCTCATTTGTTCCAAATCCTGTTATAGCCTTAAGTGAAAAGTCAGGGTTACAGCCATACCTTAGAATAGAAAAGAAAGTAGGCAGATTCTTGGATCGTTAGAGACTAGAGATGAGTAAACTTCAAAACTCTTGGAACATCAGCTCAGGAAGCATTTGGCATGAAATCCCAGCCTCACTGGAGGCATTAATGTTGACTTTGGTTGTGACATGGATTCAGTCTTGAAGCTTATTTCAGATGTCTTTTGCCTGGACTTAAAATTTGATATAAGACCATTCTTAGCTCCAGATCCAGCTAAATTGGACATACAACAAACATAGTGATTGTGACAAAGGTTATATTACTTATATCTTTACACTTCCAGAACTGGAGTGTTATAAAGATACAAAGCTAAATGGAGGATGATACATCAGCATGATTATACTGAAGACAAAAAAAATGGCAACTTTCACTAGATAAAGATCTTGCTCAGGAAAAAATAAAGGTATGTTTAAAATGATGATGTTTAAAATTAAAGAAAAATCTCTTCCAAAGAATAAAGAACACAACAAATTACTCTTATTTTTTCAAAAGTCAGCAAAGGGGTTTTAAGTTGTTTAACTATAACTGTTTGCTAACCCTGGAGAGTAAGGAGAAGTCACTACCAGCTGAAGGCTAAGAATTTGCTATGGTGAAATGATCCAATTGTATAGGTGGTATAAGTTTCAGTCTCTTTCTTCTTCCTTCCTCCAGGCCCTGATAGAGGGCAGGTTATACCACTGTAATCAGCATTACACAAGTGGAAAAAGAGTAGCAGACAGAAGTAAATCCCTTAACTGAAGTTATTTTACCTAAATCAATGGGGCATTACCTTTGAAAGAATCAGAGCTAAAATTCTAGGAGTGTAAGTTAGGGCCTCGTTACACATTGCACAGTGAGCTGCTCAAATGGTGATTGGTGCTAGTGCTAGCTTAAGTTTGGAGCAGTCAAATGTTCAGGCCAATGGGATCTTGGAGGCCTGTAGTACCCCTGTCCCTCATCCCATCCTGGGCTTCCCCCTGCCTCCCAGGCTCCCCCAAATCAAGCTTTTTATCATCATCTCGTCATGATGGCTCAACCAGGTCACCTTCCTTTGAGTTCTAAGT